CTTGTTATTTCGTGGATATGGATTTTAAAATTATTAACTGTCGTTCAGTTAACATTATTTTTCGCGTAATTTTCTTCGCAATACGTAACATCGTCTGCGAGCCACTGGTCTGCTGAGTTAGGGGTCAATTCGCAGCGCATAAATTTCGACCGCCTAGCTCTAGTCATTCATTACTGACCGCTTTCAGGCTTTTCTGACTCGTTGACAAATGTATCTGTGGAATCGCTGACTTTCTAACCTTTCAGAGGTGTATGTTACTGCTTGATTGTGATTAAAATAAATTTAAAACAAAATATAACAGATTTATTTATTCTCGCAGTAACCCTTGGACAGGCATTTGTAACAACATATATAACATTCATCCACAAAATTTGATGTTATACCCTGGCTTGATCTGACCATTTTATTTACAAATAAATTTACAGTTATCTGATATTATATAGGAATAACTCGACCCTTTTCAATGATGAACTTTAATTCATCTCTAGTATCGTACGAGTAACTTAGCGATTAACTATATGTTTTCTTGAATTTGTGTGACTTAAATCGGTGAATAGTAGTTTGGAGGGGGGGTATAGGTATAGACGATTTTATTCTGTTACCATTGTCAATTGGCTTCTACCCAAGAACTACACATACGCACACGTCTTTTACACGTACGGTCGCTGATTTGCAATAAGAGTTATTCTGCTCTGGTGATTTTTCACGAAGGTGGTGAATGTTTATAAAATTTGCACTTTAATGAGAGTGCACTTTTTATTTGCCTCAACTTGTACTTCACCATAATATAGTTTACTGAGATTAACTTTGGGACGTAATTTTAAATTTTGACAAACATACAGCAAAAGTGTTATACTTGCTTATCAGATGATTTATTTTATGACGACCTTATGTTGAATCAAAGTCATGTAAGTTATTTTGCTAATGTTGTGTTATTTGGAATAGAGTATTTATTTAGTCATACAATTGTAGCCGTAGCATGTATTAACATATTGAGGTCATTGAGTGGTTTTAACAAAAGGTATTTTAAGGAATAGTTCCCCTTTCAGTTTGATTAGAGTGATAAGACTACCTAATTAATTTGAAAAAATTAACAAAGACAAATGATCACGAGGTAGTTGAAGCTGATTGTGCTTGTTTACGTTTGGGAAAGTTTTATGTATACCTACACGGTGCTTCTAAAAAGTGTTGAGAATTTTTTTCTACCAAATCTAACGTGCCATTTTTTTACAAGGAATTTTTTTATTTTCTTCTTTTAACATACCTTTACATTTTGATTCTTGGGTCACACAGTAGTTTGCTCTTTTTACTAACCATCACAATTCATAGTCAAATGTTGGACTTTTTCGTTTTTATAATTTTGTGTCTATTTCTCAATTCTCGGGAAATTTTTGGCTTGCTACAGGGTTATGATTTTCATCTTTTTGATGTATCTACATTTGCTTTGCAAATGTGCAATCAAGGGGCTACAACTCCAAAATGTGAACACAACACCAAATTATGATGTATGTAGAAGATGACGTCTTACTGTTAAAAATAAACAAAAATATGGTCTTTTCGTATGTTGACAATATTTGTTGTGAAATATTGTCATACTTATATTCAAATTTATTTCTGTAATTTGTAGCCACAATAAAAATGCTTTTTTACATTATGTTGTTTTCTATTCATAGTTTCTTCATATGTAGATACGTAAATATCAATCCTAACCATTCATCCAAGTTACCTCTATGGCATCCAGAAAAATGATGTCGATGTTATTTTAATAAAATGAGACAAACTGTTCTAAAGAGTCTACTATCAACAGTTCTAAAAAGGTTTTAAAAAGTTTGCTCTAGTTACGTATTGAATTATGTATATGGGTACGAAAATGATACTGTATCTCCTTCATAATCAAATTAATATCATAAATGAGTCAATTTAATTCTATGACTGTACAACAAATAATGTTCTTAAAGAAACACGTTTCTGATATGGATTATTTGTCAATGTGCTGACATTATGGAAGCCAGCATGAATCTCACAAAATTGTAACAAAGTTGAATATAATAGATTTAGTTTAGAAAACAGCAAATCTGTTCGAAATGTGCACCTTTCTTATTTTACGCAGTATGTTATATTCTGTCAACACGCTCGGTGATTTTATTTAAAACTTAATGCGTAAAATACCTACTATATGGATAAGACACGCTTGTGTCGACAATGATTTTTTTTAAATAGGTATAAAAGATTTTATGAACTAGAAGCGAAATTTTATTTCATCATTAAAAAACAATTACAAATGCAAATTCGAACATTGGCAAATTTCAATACCACTAAAAATTGTACAGAAAAATACAAAACCACTGAACTGTTTACAGTTCGAATAAAAAATAGTATGTTCGCTGGAATAAAACGTTATTTTAGTTTTACCCGTTTGAATTCGATATCGAAATATTAAATTATTACATTAGTACTTTTACGAAAAAAACAACGAAGTTACATGAATCAAAAATATTGTTTAAAATCCTCACTGCTCATTTTATCACTAGATACTTGTTAAATAAAAGTCACGCCATAGAGTTAGTGTAATTCCGTTGTCTAATCCATCCAACGTACGAAGACTAACTTCACCACGCCTTTTATTGGTAATTTTCAAACTATTTTCAGTAAGACCGCTGCTATGAACACAAAAATAAATATTTCGGGTGAATCTTTTAATAACTGGACCAAAATTATTCACCCCCTAAAATAATAAAGCCTGTGACAAAATTAAACGCAAACACACAGGATGTTTGGGTTCAAAGCAACAACATTATTATTTATTTGTTTGGTCATGGCAACTATTAAAAGTTGCTAGTTTTCCATGACGAAAATTGCGTAACGGTAGTAAAATAACAAATATAGGTATAAGTAGTTTTGACGAGTAAAAATCATCCGAACGTGGAGCGGAAAAGTTGATTTGTAATTAGTGGACGCCAAGACTTTGCCATCTCATACATTTAGGTAATTAGTTCAGGAAAAAATGAAACGAATAACCTAAATTAATTATCTAAATATAAATACAAAAAAAATCGTTGACAAGTTACATAATTATAATTCCACACAAAACCTTAAAAGGCGACGTTCAAAAATTGCACATATTCCGCGGCCCTATATGAGAACGAATATAAATATTGAAATTATGTAAACGCTACTGTTTTTAGTTTGAAGGAGGAAGCTTAATTAAGTACATTGAAAATATACATATATGGCGTTGGCAGCGCGATGTAAACCTAAAATTTTAATATTCCTAGATGTTCGCAAGATATAAGGTCGCCTAGTTTTATCTGGGACTGTATAATAGGATTCGAAATAAATACAAATAAATTCAATAGGATAAGGACATTTTACTAATATTTGCTCTGAAATATTCTTTATGCTATTGATTCTACAGTGTCGTTATACCTTTTGTGAAACTCCATCAAAACTTCGGCTAGATGAAGCTAGTTATAGGAATACAGTATGAGACTTCCTAACGGGTGTTCAATTGAAAAATTACTCAGAGTAGGCGTTGGAATATCATTTGACACAAACGGCATGTCTGTTCTTATAACATACTATAGATATAACAGGTTATGTTTCTGCCAAATGGATGTTATAAGAACAGACATGCCGTTTGTGTCAAGTGAAATTCCAACGCCTTCTCTAAGTGATTTTTCAATTGAACACCCAGAACATGAAAAGTTTTTCCTACGGGATAAAATATAATGCTAAATGCTATAGAAAGAATATGGGGCTCTTAGTAAACGATTTTGCGAGATCCGCGATTTAAAAAAAAAGCATTTTGGATATTTGTATGTAAACTTTATACAATCAAAGATCTCCAGGACATTAAACTGCAACAAATGCTACACATTAGATGTTCCTCATATAAGTAGAACGGTTCAGAATTAATATGTTTCTTTAATTAAAGTTGACTGTTTCTTAGTGTGTAACTGAACTTCTATTTTTCGCTACAAAAATAGTTTAAATCATTATGCATTCTTTCCTATGCACAGGGGTCAATATACCTAGTTTAATAAAGTCTGTAGCGTAGAATTAATGAGCAATACATATCTTGAGATCCACAAGAAATGATAAAACACATAGGATGTTTTTGAAGAAAATTCGTTAAAATATTTATAAAAAAGTTTAATATACTCATTATTTAGGTGTATTTTCACCTCTGATGTATATGTATAATTGTTCGTTTCAATTTCGCAACAGTAGCTATTTTTTTTTAATAAAACAGTTAATGTGATGCACTCTTGTTCCTTTCAGTATATTTGTTATATATTATTATGCATTACTGTCTAAATAATATTTTAATTATAAAAACTGTGTATATGATTAGATGATCTTGTACGAATATTAGTACTTTAAAAATAATCAATTATTTAACATCTGACAATGAAAATACTAAAACAAAATTGTAGACATTAATATGTTAAATTAAAGTCAATTGACTAGCACATACTGATGCGCCGGTTACTATATCATATCAAAACGTACTAAGCAATTAAAACTTTTGCACCTGTTAACCCACGTCTGATCTGCAAAACCTGACTCATTTTACTCACAAATTAAATAAATATTTTTTAATATTTTTTTAAAATCTTAAAGCGTTTGTTTATCTTCCCCTTACGGTGTTTTCATATATATATTTCATTTTGTTAAATAATGCAATTTAATCCAAAAGTATTTTTTACAACCATTAGTTTTTCATTGAAGTTAAGTAACAATTCCTGAAAATATGGTATTCGGAAAAAGCAATTGTCGAATGCACTCCCTCTCTTTATCTGAAAGCGATATTTTTTTGGTACTTTAGACCTACAACCCAATTAATTAAATTACATCAGTGCAATAATGGACCGTTCCAAGCTCATAAATTTTTATAAACCCCTGCCGATCGTTATTAATTGATAGCAGTTTAAAATTAGCGAAATTGGAAAAGGGGATGAAGGAAGAACCAGACTAGGAAAAATAGGTCAGCTTCTCACCAGTTCGTAAATCCTTAATCGCCGCCTTTGGGAACAATTAATTCCTGCAGCAATCGTCGAACAGTTTGCATGCGTGGAAAAACCGATGCACCGGAGAGATTATGTCGGGAAAATAGAGAAATGGGTCACCAGGATCACGTTCACGTAAAGAACACTTCGCGTTGCACCTGCACTCCGCGACGGTCCGTGTGAGTGTTCAAAGTGAGCAGCTTTCAAAGATCTACAGCTCCAGACCACCAGATGACTAAACACCTACGGCCTGGGGCATCGCCACTTCCCATCGTCTCCAAACTTGTTCCGGAAATCTGAATGGAATAATAAATGTTTTATGACATAGAAGCGGTTTCGCGGTCCACCGTTGTTGTTTATAAATCAACTGTTTGTTCAAGTGGATTATTTAATTTGTAATCGGATCTGAAGACTACTCGTAAACAGATTCTTTAACACAGCGTACACTGTGTTTACGTATTACATGTGAACATGAGATGCATTAAACATTCGCCGTGAAATGTTTGACTTCGACTTCCATGTGCTGCCACTTTTCCGGTTTTGGAGACTTGGTGACACGGATTTTTCTTGCGTCTGTGTGTAAAGGGAAACTGTGAAATTCATTCTGATTCTACTTTAGATTTTACTTTAGATTTTACGTGATCGATCTTTGTCAAATTATCACAAGAAAAATATTTCTTTCTCGCTGTGCGAGAGCGGAAGAGGGTCGAGTTAATTGAGGTGCAATATGCATGCAAGCATAATTCTATTAGAAAGTTGAAACAACGAAGATTGATCTGTGGGTTTTAACCTTCTCTTTTGAAAAATCGATTGATATTAAGTTGCCTTTTCAAATGTGTCCTATATTACTAAATTTTGATTTAGAAATTGGTTGTCGCTCAAGTGTTAGCTAACGCGAAGAAAAATGTCAACTTGTTTTCGCAAAATAAGTCGTAGGTTTAATATTCGAGGAATATATTATTTATTTATAACGAAATTAGTTATATTACCTACTTCTGGTAAATTTTAGTGCACTAATTATCTTTAGATTGTTAAGATATTACAAAGAGGTTTGTGGTCACTTTGGTTAACTCTTACAATTTTTCAGTAGTACAAGAAGATTTTTGACGTTCTTTTTTCTTTTCTTTTTTCACTACAGTGTTATGTCAAATGCCTTAAACAATATTGGTTATGAATAATTTTAAGTTTTTTTTATTTTTAGAAAAAAAAAATGATTGCAGCGGATTGTTAGTATTAATACTCCTACAATAAGTTATACTTTATTGATTGTTATCATATTATTTAGACAGATTTGAATTACATATAACTCAATGCGAAGGTAATTTGATATTATTATTCAGCAAACACACTTTACAGTATAATTTTGCATCTTTATATAAAATTATAGTTGTAAAATTTATTAGAGTGCACGATCTCACGAGATGTGTTTTTAATATTTACAGAATTAAGTATGTGTGACATATATTAGTCATACAAATTAGTTGATTTTTTACTTCCCGTGCGTAAGCTAAGCAAGTATTGTAATCGAGTTCATTGAGCAACTGGCTGCTTTCATATTTTCTCGATGGGTCATGACCCCTAGAGTATGAAAAAATGGATCTCCCGTTTCCGTCGGTCTGTCTGTCTGTCTGTCCGCCGTTTGTGTCAATTTTTGTTAGACAGATAATCCCCGAAACTACCGGACCGATTGTTGTCAAATTTTATATGTATATTATGAATATCATGTAGATGGTAAAACGTTAACCAAACTTTATCTAATCAACCCTACCAACAATGTGATGATGTCATTTCAAAATTGTACATATAAATGGGTTTTAAATTGTATAAAACAATACAGTCCTACCCTAGTAGTTTATGAATCAGTCTTAAGTTTTTACCCGAAACGTCAAGATTTTTGGAAAAAACTGTATGCATCTTGCAGATCTTTTAAAATTATCACAAGCATGGTAAAATATATTTGCTCATGCCCCCTCCCCCCAAAAAAAAAATTGATGATGTCATCTCAAAATTGTGCCGAATAAATCAATCGTATCTAAAATGCGTAAAATGATGAGTCTATACTTGTGATTTACCATTTGATTAATATTTTTACTTCCCGAGCGTAAGCTAAGGAAGCATAGTAATCGAATCCATCGTACGAATGGCCACTTTTATATTTCCTAAGCTCATCATGTAGATGGTTCTGGATTCTGAATTCTTAATTTATGGGGGCTGACTGTAGCCAGCCGGCACTTAGGCCTCGCCTTTGGGCCCATTGTACCTTCTCCATGTAGACGGTTAAACGCTAACCAAAATTTCGTTAATCATCCCCACCAACAATTTGATGACGCCATTTCATTGAATCGTATCTTAAAATAATTTTAATGTTATATAAAAATAAACTCCTATACTTGTAGTGTACGAATCCGTTTTCAGTTTTTTCGCTAAATGTTCAAATTTTCGCAAAAACAATTCCAAGGTACTTATATTAGCAACACCGGACAGGAGTCCCCGTGGTGCAGCGGCGAGTCGAGAACGCGGAGATGTTCAATGAAGCCGTGCGACTTGCGGTAGTGGTTCGATGCCGAACTTGGCTGTTTACTTTTTTCTTGCATTGTAATACGCTGCGCCTACTTTTTGTGCTGTGACTAGTATTATCCATGTTGATGACTTCATTACCAATTTTTTGTTGCTTAAATTAAGAACGATTCACCCCATTTCCTCGAAAATGTGATAAACTCGTCTTTATAATAATAATGATAAAATAAGAATTATAACATTCAGATCATTTTGCTCGGTTGTGGTGTAATTCAAATCAAACTAATTTCTACGTGACATTCTTTCGATGTATAAACATAAATAAACACTCGAGAATGCTGCATAGGTTCCATTGTACTTTAGGAGCGAGGGAAGTTCTGTCGAAACAACTTTCGACCATTTTTTTTTGTTCTTGCATTGGTATAACTCTGTGACTACTTTTTTTTGTGCTGTGACTAGAATTATCCATGTTGATGACGAGATCACAATTTTTTTTATTGGTCAAATTAAGAACGAGTCAGCCCATTTTCTTGAAAATGTGAAGAATACCTAATATATATATATTAGCAATAGTTTTATTTTTGTAAATAATTATGAATTATTCGGAATTAAATTGGTAGTTGTTAGTTCGGTGAGTTGATTTTAGTGTACTACCTACCTGGCGCCCACTAACCAGACTCCTTGTCACTTCACATAAAATCGACTATAATTTACTCTGGAAATTGCGTCGACCTACGACCTGCCGCCAAAAACAAACTGAGAGCCGTACGCAGTGACCGTTGAGAAAAAAGGTTGTTAACGGTGCAATACATAAAATACTTTCTCAACGTTTCATGACCCCTACAGTACAAAAAAAATAGTTTTCCGTTTCCGTCTGTCTGTCTGTTTGTCTGTCTGTCTCTCTGGTGTCTGTATCCATTTTTATTAGACACATAATTTCCGAAGCTCATCATGTAGATGGTTAAATGCTAACCAAAATTTCGCTAATCATCTCCACCAACAATATGATAACGTCATTTCAATAAATTGTATTTTAAAATGATTTGAATGTTATATAAAAATATACTCTTATACTTGTAGTACATTTGCAAGGTATAATAACGTTATATTAACAACACGAGATGTAAGTTGTTGTGGCGCAGTAACTTTAAGGGGGATGCCGAACTTGGCCCTTTACTTTTTTTTTGCATTGGTAATACGCTGTGACTACTTTTCTTTTGTGCTGTGACTAGTATTATCAATGTTGATGACGTCATCACAAATTTTTTATTGGTCAAATTAAGAACGAGTCACCCCATTTTCTCGAAAATGTGTAGAATACGCAGGTCATTATATAATAATAATAAAATAAGAATTATAATATTCAGAACATTTTGTTCGATTGTGGTTTAATTAATAATTTTACTCATGTTGTGAGAAGACAAACTCAATCAAATTAAACTAATTTTTGCGTGACATTCTTTCGATGTATGCTTATACATCGAAAGAATGTATAAGCATACATATTTATGCTTATAAATAAACACTTGAGCTTCAGATTGTTATTACCTAGTGCTGAAGGATAAAGGGTGTTATGTATGCCTCTGGTTTTTACTTTACAGCGGTTGTCCACAAAACGAAAAATCAAATTTTATAATGTTTTTTAAGAAGCTGGATTTATCGGATTATACTTATAGCCTTCAACCAATTTTTTATTGATCAAATTAAGAACCTCGTTTTTTAGTCGTGTATATATATAAGGTGTAAGGTCAGTCAAAAAACTTAATGAATCAGTCAATTTATTTTACTGAATAAATCAAGAATTGCAAAACTGAATACTTTGAAGTCTTGCAGACGTCATCTCAAAATTTTGCCGAATAAATTCTATCTAAAATAATATGATGAATCTGTATTTGTAATTTATCAATGCAATATTATTTCTTAGATATGCTTGTACAGGTGGCTCAAAAAATAATAATTAATAATAATGCATTTATTTCCAAAGGGTAAGCACCCAATTACAGGGAATGAAAATACAAAAGAAAATGTACCAGGTGTAGGCATAACGGTACATACTTGAAATAAAAATGATAACTTTTACAAAATACCGAATAACAATAAGCGAACAATATTAATTAAACATAATAAAAATTACCTGAGCACTAATTTATCAATTCTCAAAAATAACGAAGTATATCCAAAATATGATTAAACGAGTCCTGGTAAACTATTAATTAAATTATTATCATTACTACACATGAGTATTACCGACGATCTGGTTAAGACACTGTTAGTTCTGCATGCGTTGCAGTAAAATGTTAAACAATTTCTACTATTAAATCTAGGAATCCGAATTACAATTTTACTCAGCCAATGAATTCAGTCGGTTTTGTACGTGAGAAAGCTATGTAGGAGTTTAATACTAAAAATGAAACCCCTAGTATGAAGCAGGCTGCAACTACATTTGGCCATTAGACAGGTGTGTTCATATCTCTGAAGAGGATAAACACGGTCGATTAGGATAAAAATTTAAGATACTTCTGCTGTACTGTGTCAACTAAATGTACATAGGTAGAATAAATTGAATATGATACAATAGTAGCATATTCCAACCTGGAGCGTACTAACGAATAATACAAATTAAGTAGAGCTTGTCGATTAGTAAAATCGGAATAATTCCTGTAAATGAAACCAAACATTTTGTGGGCTTTGGTGACAGAGTCAAGGATGATTTCTGAAAGTAAATTTATAGTCAAATGTAACGCCTATTCGTAGATGGTAGATTTTTCTGTC